CTAGGGTGGTCCACACACACACACATAGCTCGTCCAATCTTCACGCAAACATGCTCACGAACGAATATTCCTCTGTACTTGTGAATGCTGTGTAAGGTTTCCTACTGTTCTTTCCCTTGGACCTACTCCCCTTGAAGGCTTCGCAGCACAGGGATGGAGCCAGTGCGGGTCGCTCTCGTTGTGCTTGCCGTGGCTGTTGAAAGTAGTGCGCGTTTAGGACGTTTGCCTGGGTCTTCGCGCGTTGAAGCGGTATGCTCGTACGTCTTGCAGCTGGAGTTCCTGTGTAGTCCAAGTATCTTGAGCATCCCATTTTTAATGGCAAAGACAATGAATTTGCAGATATGTTTTATTAATCTTTGTATGAGGCAGATTGTCATAGGCCTTCGCACTGGCAAGCCTTGTGTAAAAAAACGGGATATCCCGTTGAAACTTCCAAATTAGAGTTGGAAAAGTCGTGTGGTTACCTCCTCAATGCTTTCTAGCGATCTAGATTCTAATATGAAGCAAAACTAGTACTAGCCCCCCCCCCTCCTGTCTCCTTACCGCGAATTAGAAAAGCATGGCAGGCGTGGCATTTCGTGCAGCTCGGAGGCAATTCAATTTGCACCTCCGGAGGATCCTCCAGAGGTGTTGCGAAAGGTCCTTGAAGAAAATCTTGAACCTTTAGACCGTAAATCCTGGATCGTCTAAGGGAAGCCATTTCCACTATCGACAGCTTTGCATCAACGTTGGACACTTATTGTGCATCGAGCCTTATGTGAACAGAGTCATTGTCAATGGAGTCACATGGCCTGGGCATGGATGATGGGGGCCACGTTAGAGCGGCGGACGCTGCCAGCATGGCTGGCCCTTTCGTTGGGTCTGCTGTATACAATGCGCGCAAGGTCTTTCTGTGCCTCTGGTGCTGGTAGCTGCTGGGAAAGCTGGGAAAAGTAGCCTGCTCCGAGCTCGAGGACTTCTTTGCAGTTGCTCGTGGGGCAAGATTGGGATGTCCACATCTTTGCTGCTATGCTACCATGTTTGTCTGAAAGGTGCGACTGCATGTTTTACCGAAATGCTTTCGACGCTCTTGAGGTTTTGCTGCTGCACGCCCCTGCGGGCTTTGCGGAAGCTTTTACACTGTCGCCAGTGTTTCGCGATGGTTGCACGGAAGCTATGCGCCTGGATTTGCTACCTTCCGTGGCTGCTAGGCTTGGGCAGACCTATCGTAGTCTCGTGGACTCGTGGACAGTGGACAACTGAGCATGGCGGCTCGTTTCCATACGCTGCAGCGCTTGTTCGTCGTCTGCTAGCACTCCTGCACAGGCCTTGTTCACAACAACAAAGAAGCGGAGAGAAGCCTCCGCGGACTTTTTTTTGAAGCACCTTCCACGCGAAACGCCCTGGACCCTCGTCAAACGCGTCGACCGCCACAAGCCAAAAATGAGCGCACCACCGCAATGGGAGCTGCATTTCGATAAGTTTGAGGGATCGGTTACAACGGTGGCGGGTAAAATGATGATAGGCATCCAGCACCTGGAGGCATTTGCTTGCAGTACTATAATCTTAAATTCTTGGAGCTGTTAGGAAGCTTGAGCAAATCTGAACGCCATTATGTGGAGCATGTGCGGAAGGCCCAAGAGTTCAAATTCCAACAAGTTTAAGCCAATTGGATGCTTCAGGCTTCCTACCACTGCAGAGTACTTGAACCTCTTACGTACTGAGTGAAGGGGTTCAGTTCATGTCATGAACAGCAACAACAGCAATGATGGGGCTCGACCTACGCGATAAGAATAGGACGGCAGCTGAACCTAATGTGGATGGGAAAAAGAGTGGCATGCTAATGCTGACAGTGGTGGCCGTGTGAAGCAGAAGGACCACTATAGTGCGAGCAACGTCAGCAGGAATAAGTAATGCCGGTGAACTTTCTGACAGTTGTAGCACTATCAGTGACAACAATGGCAATAGTTAGCAGGATAAAGAAAGTAACAAAACTTGGACCAAACGCTGATAGCAGCCTTAAACATCTTCAGCCCTAAGACCTACCTAAAGTAGATACATTGGAATTTCCAGACTTTGGGGGCCCTATATCAGCCCCGAATTACTGATAACACCATTATAGGTAGCCCCGAAACAGAGACCCCCAATCTATGGCAGCCACCACATACATGAAGGTATGGTACCTCACCCATCATGAACCCCACATCTGTTTTTTTAAGTGATGCGGAGACAGCAGTTGGGTGGGCAGTTGGTGGCTGGAAGTTCTTTCACAGCGCTGTCCCGCGCGAAAACCGAACACATATTCCTGGGTCTCAAGATCGCTGGTTTCTCGAATTTATGTGTTTCCAAATCTCTAGATTTCCGAACTTCTAGAACTTCCTGAACCCCTAGAACCCTGAATACTCCAGAGCTCACCTGTAGTGGGATGGTGTCCAACAGCCACCAATGGAGACGGTGCCCCAAGGCCCTTGCAAGACCTGCTTTTGGGTCTACGGTTGAGGGGCCAGCGAGCCATGAAGATTTGAAAAACGTTGCCAAAAGGTTAGCCCAGCTGCGTGGGAACCCTAGGCCCTGAATCCTACACCTTCCACCCCCAAACCCCTAAAACCTAAATCCTGAAAGTCATGGACTGTCTAAGTTGCATGGAGTGGTTTCGGGCCTTCACACTGATCAGTTGGTGGGGGGTTGTTGGTCTTTCATTGGTGGGGAATGCTTTGTTGGAAGCAACCGCTTTTTGGTAAACTTCCGCCTTGCAGTCGACCTCCAAGTTCCTTGGCTGGTATGGGGTTTAGCGTTTAGGTTTTAGGAACACTAAGTCTTTACAGGGCCTTCCAAGAAGGTTAACTGTTAGCTGGTTCTAACTGATGCCATCTCTTGCATACCCCAAAACAATAGGGCGTAGGGTTCAGGGTATGATCTGCGATGCAATCTCAACCCTTCTGTATACCCTCAACCCTAGGGCCCTAGGTTGTCCCACAGCTTTGCAAGATCATGCCAGTCTACATTGTGGGCACCATCAGCGAATGTTCGAAGGGCTTATGCCTCCATTCCTGCATGCTTCCTACAGCCATATAGAGCAGCAGCCTTACTTTTAGTTGCATGCAAGTAGAAAAGAGACACTGCGTGGCTGCGCTTTTTTGGTTGCTAGGCACGGCCTACGTGCTCTATGCTTGGTGTCTGTGGGTGTCTTGACCCATGGTCTGCGCCATTAGTGTTGAAGAACTGGAACCCTGCGGCTCGATGCTTTGGACATCAGGTCCCTGCAGACCCTAAACCCTCAACTCTCTACCGTTCCCAAACTGACATGTTGGGAAAACCCTAGAAAGACTACTTTTTCCCTGGAAGCGGGGTACCTGGAATTCCATGTTCGCTCAGCGGAGGCTACTCACTCTACTTCCCGGTGGGTTCGCCAGGTCAAAATGCCCTTGCGCATTTGTCATTTCATGCTCCACGATCTCAATATAATCTTTCACTGTATGCACCTTTCAGATCCCTAAGCCCCCCCAAACCCTAAACTTTAAACCCTCAAACAAAAACCCTGAATACCCTAAACCTTGCACTCAAAACCCTAAACCCTAAGCCTTACACCCAAAGCCCTAAACCTTAAACCCTAAAAACCCTAAGCCCCAGACATCTCCAAGGTTCACTCCCCAGCCCTCAGTCCACCTCCTGCGGCGGCGATGGCGCCGGCGCCTCCCACCATCCGTGCGCCGAGCGCACACATGCCCGTCCCGCTGCTCAATGTAAAAGGCGTCCTGGTCTATGGGAGAGGGTTACCCCCAGATCCCTTTGACGGGCTTAAAGGATAATGCTAGGGTGTAGGGGCCTAACCTGAGGTAGCCTAGGATATGAAAAGGGACTCCCGGACAAATCACATAGGTTACAGCAAAGCACTGGTTTCTCCATGATAGCAGTTTAGAGGACGAGAGCTTCTAGCTTCAGCATCCCCATTAAATGGTCTAATCCATATATGAACCGTCTGGCTGGCAGGCTACACTAGCAAAAGCTGATAGCGCTTCAGGAAGATCTTGAGCTGCAAAGTTAAAAAAAAAAAGAACAAAACTTCACTTGAATTGGCTTGCCTAGAGTCACCCTTGTCGGTGTTCATGCTCCGGTACTCCCTGTTGCCTGCTAGATCAGCGCAGCGAAGGCCTTTCTGAGGCTGGTGAACGCACTTCCTGTCTTTCATCGTCAGGGAGCAAAAGTTGCTCAAGTTCTTGACATACAAAAAAAGATGGAGTAAGTTCTTCAAGTCTTTCATGATACCTTACGTAAACCACTAAGTATGCAAATAACTTTGAATGTTGTGCTATTCTACGGTAAGGTTCTCGTTGTAGTGGCTGTTGCCGATCACCACTTTGGTCTTGCCCCAGAGCTTTTCGTATTGCTTGCACTGAACCCGCAAGTCCATGCCCCAGCCGCCCCCTGCATCCTCGGTTGTGCTGGGTCTCTTGAAAAGCAGATGCATGTAATATCCTTTCCACTTTTCGAAAACAAACAAAATACTTCCTGTTGAGCGCCCGGGCATCCGTCCGTCTCACGCACAGGTGGCCAGTGTGAGAGTTCCAGATGTGGAAGGTGTCGCCGTTCTTGTGATCGTTTGCACGTTTGTGATGATTGCCCGCATCCCACTCGCACTCCACACGGTGAGTGGGCAAAACGCATTTCATATTTGTATGGGACGTGCCGAAGTTGATGTCTTGGACAACGTAATTGACGTCGTGGCCCTTTGAGTCGCATTCAAGCACAAGGTTCATGTCCCAGCCGTTTGAGTTGCGGCGGCGCCGGGCGTGACGGCGGCGCCGGCGCCGGCGGTGCTCCAAGTGGCCGCAAATGCGGCCGCCCTCCTCGGTGATCTTGAAGCCGGCATCATGCCCATCAAAGCCAAGGCGGTGGCCTTTGTTGCCTGCCCACCAAGGGCAATGAACTGGCTCTGGTGGCAGGACACACTTCTTGTCATGGTGGGTCATGCCCAGTGGAACCAAAATCCCACCTCCTCCCCCCTGATTGTTGTCAACCTTGCACGCCAACTCCAACTCCATGCCCCATCCGCCATTCCAGTGGTCAACGCGCCTCACGCACAAGGCTCTGGGGTCGTGCGGATCATTAGGATTCCGGTAGACGTGGAAGCGATCTCCATGCAGGTCCTGTGCATTGGCCCGGTACCCTTTGTCCCCAGCCTCCTTTATACAGTTCACGTTGGAGAAGGTCTTGCCACAGTACTCTCCACCTCCAGGGTTCTTCCCAATGTACTCGATGGTGACCCCGGCCTTGTTCATGGCCAGCTCGCGAGAGTTGTCCTTCTCTGCCATCTCGAAGCCAAGGATCCGAACCCACTTTCCAACTGTGCCTAGCACCGGGACTTGGATGCCCAGAAGGATATCTACCCCAACGGCCACACCGGTCGGCCCCCGGGCATTGAACATACTCTGAAGGCAGTTGTACTCTCCGTGGCCTTGATTTCCACAGTGGCTGTAGACAGCTGGGGTGAGGTCCCCGAGATTCAAGTTCACCTCCAAAGGTGCTTGGACGCCCAAAGGAGGTGGGATGAAGATCGGAAGGCTCAGGGTGATCGTCATCTTGTTGATGAAGGGGTAGTAGGCCACATGTGCTATGCCGGCACATGCGCTCCAGCCAATGGCCGAGGCAATCTTCCCAAGCACGCCACCAATGCACAAGGTGACCGAGGCCCAAATGTGAAAGCTTGTGAACATGGCCGCCTTGTTGTTGCAGGCCGCCACGGAGACCCCAAAGCTCAAAATGAACCTTAGCTCTTGCACTGCTTCTCCTCACGGAAGCAAGGCACTTTTGGTTTGGCTGGTTTCAAAACTCAACAAGACCAAAGCACGAGAGAGCATCGCCAGGTTTCACTCCTTAGTTGTTTCACGAAACATGGAAACTTCACATTTTCAACAAGCCAGCTATAACGGGGAACTGTCACAGCTTTGGATCAGGTGCAGGCACCCACAACCGTACAACATCTGCAATCTTGCAACGCAATGTCCAAAAACGAGGCGAGAACACCTACCTCTCGGAACCATGCACCCAACTTGCCAACAACCCTAGCCTTGAGCCTTTAACCCAAACCCTTCAACCCTAAACCGCGACAACCCTAAGCCCAGACGAGACTCCGAAGCATACAGAGCACTCGCCCGTCACGCAACTGTACGCCCCCTGCGTGATTTTTTTGTAAAAGCTAAGAATGAACGTTCAGGGCTTAGAGCATGCAAATTGAAGTTTAGGGTTCAGGGCGTCTGCCTGCCGGTTTAGGTAAACATATACATGCTATACGCCCATGGACCTACCATTTGGGGATGTTTGGGGAGAAACCATGAACAAGCCAGTCAGTGTAAAGAGAGGGAGTGCGGGATACACCCTACGCAGCGAACATTTCTGTCCAGCGACCTTTGAGGGTATACGTTCTAGCATGCTTGAGGTTCAGTATGGCAAAACAAGATGTATCAACAAACTTTGTAGCTTGCACTGAATTTGGCCTTCTCCCAAGGTTTGTAACTAGTTCTATCATTTTTGGAAGGCGAACCTAGAAAACAGAGACCAACCAATGAGCATTCCTAGCATCTTTGATCTCAAAAATCTGGAAGATCAAGGTTGAGGCTGCGCTTCACTGGCTTGCAACCGGATGAAGCCAAGAAATGTAATCACATCCAACACATATGTTGATTGATTGGCTTCGTTTACATATAATCATATTAAAGGGCGCTGTCCAATCCCATGAATGAAAGCCCATCGATGGAAATCGTACGACGTACGAGACCTGTAAAAAAGCACATGACTGTTATGACCAACCCCCGTAATTTGAATAATCACATGAATCTAACAAACCAGGCTTTGCGGTTGAGTAGATTTCCGGTTGGCTCCCTACCCAAATCAATAAATCAAACTTGTCACTTGGCCCAAGATGTAAAAATTCGTCCAGTATCACAGACGTGCCCCTGCAGTTTGAAACCAATGTATACAGGGACAATCAAGAGCCCAGAAACTGATAACGTCTTTTAACAAAATTCGCAACATGTTCGGTAAATGCTTTATATACAAGGGCAAGATCCCAACATTTCAGAATTACTCAATCATACTAAATCCTGCGCACACTTCGAAAGGGACATACAAAATCAAAAGGTATCCCTGCGTTCGAGAAGTTCTTCAAATTCGACGCATGTTGAAAACAAGGGCCGTATCTAGAGAAAATAAGGAGACCAGGATCAAGGAATATTCGTCAGGTTTGCAACCAGTAGAGAAGGAGCCAGTCCCAGAGATTTGTACTTTCAATTTTATACAGAATGTATAGATGAAAAACGGAACCCAGAATGTAAGAATTCGTTTTTAAATCCGAAGCACATGTTGTAAAGGACGTACATAGACCCAACACGTGAGAATCGGTTGTTAAATTCTATGCACGGCTGGTAAAGGATAGGGTGAGGAACATATATCGAAAACAGCCAAGTAAGGAGCCCAGGACTTAATTTTGTCACGCCTTTAGTAAAGGTTTGGAGACCAGGATCGCAGAATTGTTCTGTAGATTCGCAACCGATTTAGTAACGGGGCAGCCAACTGTCTGCAGCAAAGGCTGTTGCAAGCGACATCAATGGTTATGTCAAAGACTTAATTCAATATAATCGAAATAGGCTAGAATAGCAGGGGTTCAGTTACATTTACGAATTCATAAATTCCGACAAATCCAGAATTTCCGCTGTCCAAAAATTCCAAAACAACACAAAAAATCCAAAATTGAACCAACCATGGTCAAGGTTTGAAATTCCAAGTTACATTCCGAGAATTCCCAAAACTCCAATACTTCCAAAACTCCAACTAGAAGGACGATCTCTTGGTTTCTCTTGGAAGGTGGAATTACAAAAATCCAGGACCATGGTTGGTTTCGTTTCTTTTCTGCATTGTAAAGACCTTTGCATCCTACAAACCTCTAATTAAATTGATACCGCATCTTGGCCTTAAGAACTAATGATAAATCTATACCGGTGCGAGTGCCCAGCTTTACCAATGTATTACCTCTTGACCTTGGGCCCCAGGTTTGACATTTTTTCCTCATAAACGGGCTGTTGGAACATTCGCATCCTGAACACTCCAAGAAACAGAGGGTACCTGAGCACCTTAGCCTTTGAACCCTGAGCCCTTAAAATCACGGAATACGCCGCCCACATCGATGTTGAGCGCGCTGAAGCCCTTCGCCCTCCATGGCGAAAGACCTACCCAGACGGTCACCTGCTCTTTCACATGTATGGGCATGTACAGTAGGCCCCGTACCAACCTCCCTGCGACGAATGCCGACCAAGCTCTTCATCTTGCTGTTGTTTTGGATGCTTCGGGCAGAAACGCCACCAAAAAAAACAGCCGCCGCTTCCAGGAGCCTTCCAAGGCCTCCAGGACCCTTCACCAGCCTCTGAAAGTTTTTCTGCCCACAATCTGTCCGCCCTGCGCCTCTTAAGAATTGCTCTTGGGAGTTGCAAATTGCACCCTTCGCAGGCCGATTAAGACTTAGATTAAGAGTTGTTCCGATCTATTCGGTGGTCCGTTTAAGAAGGACTGCGTAATTGCAATTTGTTTTTGAAGAATTGGCTTCATGAACCCCGCGTGCTTATCAGGGCCTCCTGGGCTTATGGGGGTAGTGGCCCCCTGCCTCAGGGCCTTTCAAGCGCAAGGTGTCTCTTTCACCCAGGGCCCAGATGCTCCTTAGGGGCAGGGATTCCAACCCGGCCCCAAGCACTTCAAAGGCGCTGCAACCTGGAAAGCCTCCAGCTCCAGCTCCCTGCCAGGTTCACAAGGCCACCCTCCAACAGGTTCAGGTCAGCTTAAGGGCAGTCTCTGTGGCCTGTCAAGGTGTTGGGTACTACAAGCAAGAAGTTGCTGCCTGTGAAGATGTTAGTTATGTTGCTGACCAAAATGGCCTAACAGAGTTTAGGTTCTAAACCAGAATAAGACTAGGTTTGGGTGGCTTGCTCGCCTGGGACCATGTGGGGTGGGTGCATGTAACATAGATGGCCAGCCACAGTCAGGCCATGGCAGTGTGCGCACAGCACAACGCACTCGAAGCGATTCTTTAGCATGACCATGTCTGCTTCACGATGAAATCACAGCAAACCCTATAAGCCCTAAACCCCGTCAGTACCAGGGAGTCAGCTGTTGTTTTTCTGAGCAAGCTACTGCCGTACATGCACCCAATTGGGCGGTAGTAAAAAGCGGCCCCACATAGCTACACGAACATATGCGGGTCAGACTTTTAGAGTTTAGGGTTGAAGGTTTGAAGACTACCACCCCCGAAGGAGCTAAAGGTACTCCCCATCAACTTGTGCATGTTTGTGGCAAGACCCATCCTTAATGATCGACGTCAGTGCCCCAAGATGATCGAAGGCAAGACCACCACCCCCGACGCACTGCCCGCTGACCTCGGTCTTGGGGACTAGGGTTTAGGGTTTTAGGACTTAAGCTTATCGCGGATCTTTGAAGACCGTCGGCCTTGCACCGGCCAGAACACTCAGGGGCGCCACGCATTGCTAAAGTCCGAGAATCACAAACGTACGCTGCGGGTCTTGCTGTCTTACGCAGGCCTAGCTTTGAAATGTTTTCTGAGTTCTGTGGCTTTAGATGCAGAATTTGCCTTATAAAGCACACATCACACATCGGTAAAAACCTTGAAAACCATTGTGAATCAGCAGGCGCCAGACCGTCCCACCTTCTGGAAAATTGGGATCATCCACTGGAGTATATGGTAATTTCCATAAATGAATAAGGGGCCTTCAACAATATAGACACCCTATATAATAATCCTTTCACAGGAAGACGCAGGATGGTACCCCCCAATTTTGGAACCCACCCCCCCATCTTCTAGCTCAACTCATCTCTTGAGCTATGTTCCGTACAGGCTCTAAAGGAACTTCCTCTAAAAGATGGAGAACTACGGCAAGGGCTCCTGAAGAAAGTTGTTACAGCTGCTGCAGATAGAGGCTGACCACCGTGTTAGTCACTCTGCCTCTGAAATGTACGTTCCTGATGGAATCTACAGGGGCTTAGTGCGTGCTATCTACACTACATTCTCTGTACTGTGGGACAGAAACTGGTTGCGTTGTGCTCCTTACATTGGCGTGAATACTGTGATTGGTTTGTTGATACTTTTCTGGCTGCCGCACCTCTTCACTTAGATGGAGTAGCTTGTTTTAGCAAAACGCTTTATCCTCAGGGCTCATGTCGTCGATTTAATCCTGCAGTTCGTCCCTAGGAATTACTGGAGCACCCCTTTCACACACTCCCGAACTTTAAGAAACTCTGCTGATGAGCAGGGATCGCAATCCTGAAATCATCCCGAATAAAATAAAGCTCCCAGTCGTTTACTCCAGCAATCTGAATCCCCGTAAGGTGGTGGCACTAGTCTTTGTGGGACCCCTGTTGGGGGTTTGAAATATAGATCGGGGTCCCCCACATCCCAAACCCTCCGCTCACAGCTTGTACCCCCAACTCCAAGTTTTCTGAGGCTGCTGCACAAAAGCTGCACTCAAATGCACCACCCGTGCACGGCCCAAGACCGATTCCCTTGGACTTGAAGCTCTCGGCGACCTAAGGATCTGAACCAAACCATCCCATATCCTAATTGCATAATGCCCAATACTACTACACACAGTCCCTTGCGAACTGACTACTCTCCCTCCTATGCGATTTCATCACTCTCGCGATCTCAGAACGCTTGAGGCACCCTATGAAGCTGGCAGACATGTAGGTCTCCGTCTCTTAGTCTTTTTCCTCCTCCTCTATGGTTTCGGGTGCAAGGGGTTTAGCGTTTAGGATTCCGTTTTTCTTCTTCTACAGGCCATGGCTCCCCGAAAAAGCTTTGCTGGGCTTACCACAACCATCCCTCACACCTACTTTCAGGGCATCAGAAGCTGTTCTCTTCCCTACTCTAGCGGTTGGTGCATCTAGACTTGCGGGACTCTACCTCTCATCACCCATGTCCGCATGCAACACAAATCAACCAGCATTGCCTTCAACATCAAACGCACCAAGCTGGGTCAGTACTGTTCTGCGCCTAGCTTCCCTCGCTGTTGTTTGGGGGCAGGGACGTGCACTCCGGAGGCTCGTGCACGTCGGCTTTAACAAGTTGACATAAGAAAACAATCACTCATGATGCACAGTTGTTTTTCAAGCGAATAAACTCCCAGCCTGGCTGACGACGGACCTTACCCTGTGCTACGAATCTCTTCTTCTCCTACTGCGCCTCACTGACTCCTGGGGGTTCTCGCTCTCTCTGTCTCTCTCTTTCCCATTTTCTTCTTCTCACTGCTCTACCCCCCCACCCCCCAAGAAAAGTCAGGGCAACGGCCCAAGCAGGTACTCTCTCTCTCCGTGTCTGTCCCTAAGGCTTGTAGGACTGAGGGCCGGCTTCAGCACAGGACACAGGGGTTTGCAGACAGATTAGTCACGAAACCTCCAACAAGGCCGCGCTGGACAAGGACCTCTTGGCCCTTTGGAGTCGCGCCATGATGCCTCAGCTCACTGTCAACTGTAATTAGGGGGAAATGAAACCGAATTATGTATGCATATGCGGATGTATATATATATATACACACACAGATTTGGAGGACATATGCACACCAAGTAAGAGACAGCTCAATTCTGAAACGGAATCTTCTTGGCTTGGTCAACTACACCTTCTTGCGGCGCCTCTGCCCATAGCAAGTTTTCAAATTGACAGATCCTACTACAGTTGTGCATCTAGGGAATCTAGGGTTTAGGGTTTGGGATTTGTGGTTTAGGGACTGCCTCATGCAGTGCAAGATACGCAGTGCGATACAACTTCTGTCAACCTGAATAAACAAGTCATGGTGGACGTTGATAATTTCCATAAATACGGGACCCCAATATAGGGCCCCAAAATACAACTTGCATTATAAGACCCCTGAAAAGGTACCCCTCATTTTGGGAACCCTCCAGTTGTAGGGTTGCGCTTGGCCGTATGGTTGTAGTACTGGGCTTTGCATGTCCTCGCTAACGCGGTTTAAGGTTTAGATTTTAGGACAACAGATCTGGGTGTTCACAGGGCACCCCTGCTGTGTACTCCAAAGTTCAAGATTTCTTATTACCAAGATTCCCAGCAGATTCCCAAGCAAGGGAACCCAGCGTGCCAAAGGCCGATCATACATAATCCCGGTACGCTTGTTTGCTCTTGTTGTTGTTGTTGTTGTCGCTGTTGTCGTTGTGGCTGTCATTGTCGTGGTCGTGGTCGCGGTCATCGTGCTTGTCGTGGCCATCGAATCGTGGCGGTCGTCGCGGTCGTGGTGGTCGTGGTGGTAGCTGTGGTCGCGGTGGTCGTTGTGATCGTCGTGGTCGTGGTCGTGGTCGTGGTCGTGGTCGTGGTGGTCGTCGCCGCCGCCGTCGCCGTCGCCGTCGCCGTCGCCGTCGTGGTTGTTGTTGTTGTTGTTGTTGTTATCGCCGTGGCTGTCGTTTACAGTTAGTTCCTGGGCCCTAAATTCGAAACCCCAAATCCTCAACCCCAAAGTCAGTCGGAAACAGTAGCTGAGACTCTTGGCCTCAGCGCCTCCAACTCTTCCGTGTGCTGGGCATCACCTGAACCATACAAAGCCCAAAACCCAACTCTCAGAATGTCATCTTACTGGTGCTCAAGAGGGAATGTAAAGATTTTTTGTTGTGGGTTAGATAGGGATCCACTCCGCCTGAAGCAATAGTAGGTGGTGTTCCCATGCTGCACATCCACTACGCCCACAAAAAGGGACTGGATGTGTGCAGGCAAGCAGCATAGCAAGGAAGGCTGCTGACGCGTGCAGAGGCAGTCGACGTAGTTTTGGATCGCTGAGCTCTCCTGCGCTGTCAGGGTTGCTATGCATTCATGATGCTTGAGATGGATACATTTCCCAAGAACTACCCTAAACCCATCTAAACCCTACACACGTTAAACCCGCTTCGGCCCACAATATGTCGCCTTTGATTGGGGATTTATAATGTACGGGGTAAGCACTTTGGGGCCGTCACATGCAACGGAGGACGCTTGCACCAGCACTTGAGATGAGGCTTGCATAACGCGTTAGCGGGCGTTGTTTGCGGGCTTGCTTGGCGTTGTGCATTTAAAGTCTGGGACTGTGGGTCTTGGGCATCCATGTCAAGCAAGTCAGGGGCCTCAAAAATTCGCAGGGTCGAATTTGAGTTCGAGAGGTCAGGGGGGAGGTCGCGCTCGAGTTCGAGTTTGAAAGGACCGAGATCTTGAGGTGAGGGCAAGGGTTGAGTTCGAATTCGAGTCGTATAGCAAATGGCAAAGGAAGTGAGCTCGAATTAACTCAAATTTTCATTCATTTTTTCAGGAGGGGGTAAATGGGTTCGTAATGAAAATTTGGATGAAGCTTGGTGATACAAGATGCCATCATGTTTACCGGTTTACCGTAATTCTGTCGGGATTTTCACGACATGTTCTCCCCAAATCTCCAGGCTACCTGTCTTTGGCTTTGCATGGTGCAAACAAACAACCTAAACCCTTAACGGAGCAGGGTAGCCGTCTGGATGGTGGTAAGCAGGTATCGCAGAGAGCGCATGCCGGCCAAAAACAAAGAGGAACTTGTCAAGGTTTAGAGATAAACGCCTGAATCCTTACGGATCCAGATATACAAATAGTTCATGCACTGAGCCTTAAAGTCTGTGATCGGGCTGTTGCACTTGATAAGGCAATATTCTGAAACAAAGTCCTAGAAATCTCTGAATTTGGATGGTTCCCTAAACACTGAACCCCAAATATCAAACCCTAAACCCTAAGCCCTTAATTCCTAGATCCCGGGCCCATGCCTTACACAAACTCTCAGATCTCCTTGACCCAGTCTGCCGCTTCTGTCAAAGTCCCGTTGCAATACTTCTGCACCGTGAAGCCGTGCACATGCTCCTAAGGTTGGGGTTTAGGGCTTATAGGGTTTAGGGTCTCGGGTTTAGGGTTTGTAGGGTGTAGAATCGGTCAGTTGGACGCATTAGTATGCAGACTTGCCCACCCCAATGCCAGCCAAACACTACTCACAACGAACCCAAAAAAAAACCAGTCAACCCCAAACCAGACAAACCAATTTCTTTTATTTGCAAATCCCTCACTGTGCATCGGGACGGGGGGCTCAGGAAACAATCAAGGATCACGATGACTGAGGAAACTTTGGGCTTTGCGATAAGGAGTTGCAGAACCCTCTCAGAGCTCTATCCGCTCCGGGTCAGGTGCGCTGCCGGCCATAACTTGCAAGTGCGTTTTAGTTCAATTGTTCTACCCAAATGTTTTACAGGAAAATCTAAGTTTTGCGCTGTGGAACGGTCTGGGCCGAAGGGCCCTCTCACAGCTCTATCCCGCTCCTGGTCAGGTGAGCTGCCCGCTAGAACTCGTAGTTGCGTCCTAGCTGAATTGTCCTACCTAAGTGCTTCAGAGCAACGAAGGACGGTCTGGGCTGAAGGCTCTCTCGCGGTTCCATCCCGCTCCAGGTCAGAAAAATTTAGGTTTTGCGCCAGGGACGGTCTGGGTCGAAGGGTCCTCTCATATTGTTATATCACTCCGGGCCTCCGACTTGCAAGAGCGTCCTGCTTTTTGAAGGCTCGCTCCGAAGCCTTGAGGAGGAAAGGGGATGCCTGGGAGAAGATTTAGGTTTTGCGCCAGGTCATGGTCTGGGCCGAAGGGCCTCTCGTAATTTTATTCCGCTCCGGGTCACATGAGCTGCCCACAAGAATTTGCCTAATTCAATTATTCCCCACATCAGTTCTTTGCGGGGTTCTAGTTGTTTAATGTCCGTCGCCCGCCGGCCCTCTGCTTGTTCCGGCGCGGCGAACACTTCGATCGCGCCCTGTCTTCTGAAATCGCCTTGAAGGTAATCTTCCGGAAACTCCAAAAATCGTTGATTCTGATGAAATTTAACTTGGAGGCGCCTCTAGCCTCTAACCTCGTCTTCCAGACTTATCCTGCTGCAAATTGGTCGCGCCCAGAATTTTTCTCAAGTCGCCTTAAACATAATCTTCCGGGGGCTCCCGAAATGGCTGATTTTGATGAAATTTTAAACTCGATATCGACTTTAACATCCTCTTCCAGACCTATGCTGCCGCAAATCGGTCGCCCCCTAAATGTTCTCAAGTCGCCTATAAAGCACTCTTCCGGAGGCTCTCAAAACCGTTGATTTTAAGAAATTTAACCTGGATTTGCCTTTAAACTCCTCGTCCAGACCTATCCTGATGCAAATCGGTCGCGCCCTAAAATTTCGCAAGTCGCTTTGTGGATGATTCAGGGCCGCTTGCTGTCAACAAAATATTGCTCAAACACTGTTGCTGATTCAGGGCCGCCTGCTGCAAACAAAGTGTTGCTGAATCGGGGCCGCATGGTTTTAACAGAATATTGCTGATTCAGGACTGCTTGCTGTCAAACAAAATGTTGCTGATTTAGGACCGCTTGCTGCAAACAAAATATAGCTGAATCGGGGCCGCTTGCTGTCAACAAAATATGGGTGAATTGGGGCCGCTTGCTGTCAACAAAATGTTGCTGATTCCGGGCCGCTTGCTGTTAACAAGGTGTTGCTGATTCAGGGCTGCTTGGTGTTAACAAAGTCTTGCTGATTCAGGGCCGTTGCTGCTAACAAAATGTTGCTGATTCAGGGCTGCTTGGTGTTAACAAAGTCTTGCTGATTCAGGGCGGCTTGCTGTTAACAAAATGTTGCTGATTCAGGGCCGCTTGCTGCTAACAAAATGTTGCTGATTGAGAGCCGCTTTGCTGTCCACAGAATGTTGATGATTTACGGCCGCGTGCTGTTTGCTGATTCGCGGCCACTTGCTGCTAACAAACTGTTGCTGATTCAGGACCGCTTGCTGCTAACAAAATGTTGCTGATTCAGGGCTGCTTGGTGTCAATAAAATGTTGCTGATGTCGTCGATTCCAAACAGGATTCTCAGGACTCTCCACGGGCCAGCGCTGCCACGCGCCCAAGACAGCGAGACGGTCGTCGATTCCAAGCAGAATTCGCAGGACGCTCCACGCACCAGCGCTGCCACCGATTACTTCAAGGCGACTGGAGAAAATTTAGGGCGCGACCGATTTGCAGCCGAACAGGTCTGGAAGAGGAGTTTGAAGGGGATTCGATGTCAAATTTCATCAAAATCAACGATTCCTGGAGCCTCCGGTCTGGGTCGAAGGGCCCTCTCTCATAGTGTTATATCGCTCCGGGCAGAGCTCCACCTCGCAAGGGCATCCCGCTCTTGAAAGCTGAGGCCCTTGCGGAAAGAGGAAGCCTGGGAGGCCTCAGGAGGCTGGAGAGGCCCTGATATTCTGAAAGAGGCAGCCGCTGCGCCTGACACCCAGAAAAAAACATAAACCGCCCTGCATTGGGAGGCCCGGCTCTAGGCCCTGCAAGGAGCTGGGCCTTGGCAGGCCCTGGTCGAAGGTTAGGGACGAGCTTCCGAGAGGCTGTAAGATGTAAAAGCGTAACATACCGTCGGCAGGCTCTGCAGCCTAGTGCGGAGCCTGCCATGGTCTCGCAGGCGCTCGACGGGGCCAACCTACCCACAGAATGAAGAGGGTGGTGGGCGGGTTTAAGGTCTAAGGTCTAGGGTGTATTTAGGGTTTAGGGGGTTTGCCTTCTGAGGAATATTGACCCAGGAAGAGCATCACAAATACCGGTGTCCTGTTCAAGGGGCTTGCATGGACTGGGTGCTGGCATGGAAAGATCATGGCGCATTGCTAGCATACAGCTTTGAAAGTGACAGTATACCAACAAGCCGATTCAAAAGACACCAAGATCATCAAAAGAGACATCAAACACTGTGCGGCCCTGCACCAACGGTAAAAAACATGCGCCCCTGATAAATTTGTACCCTTAAGAGTCCCTAGAATCTCCCTCAAAAGCCTACCATACTTCTAACCTTCGAAAATACCTTAAGTCCCTGCAACCCTAACCCCACCTGGAAATTGAGCCGAAGCCTCCATCCAGCCCCTATATCATCCCAGGTTCCGTTTCATTTTGCATTTGATTCTCCATTTGTGGCGGTCACATCTCGATATACACCCCTAACCTTCATTCCGAGTCATCTGACGCTTCTTCCTACGCCTGAAGCTATGCAGAGGACAAGGATCGTAGTGCTTGAGATCGATCAGCCGCAAGCGACTCATTGTTGGCAGGTGCCTCACTAGGAGTCCCTTAAGATTCTGAGGACCCTGTTCGACAATAACAGGATTCTGGGAATCCTAACCCCCAAATTCGGACCCGATAAACATCATAGAACTACTGTGCACTAGGGCTCTCATTCGGGGGGCCAGGGGCGTATCACGTTTGGAAGCTCGGGGTCACCAAAGGCACTTGGAAATGTCTAGGGTAAGGTGAACAGGAGTTTAGGTTCAAGGGTTAGGGTCTAGCGGTTTTAGGGTTGAAGGTTGAGGGCAAGGTGAATGAGGGTTTGAGGGTTAAGGTTTGGGGCCTTAGCCCTCCCAGATTGGGAAAACCACATCAGGAAAAGATACATGAAACTCATCATTGTCTACCCACTGCGCAATGTGGGGGTTTCACAAAACCATTGGGAGTCCCCATACTTAGGCTTAGAATATATTGGGGTCTATATCGGGGGCTCCCTATTCATGGAAACTGCCAAGAATGGAAATTGCTCAGGGTGCCCCAGTCGTGACTTCTAGGTTACAATGCGTCCCGAAGGCGTCTTGCCTGAATCCAAATGACTACTGTATTGCCGATATTAGTATTTCTATATTATTTCCAATCTTGTTATTGCTCTTATTGTTATTCGCTGTTGTAGCTTAGTTGCTCGGCACTCTTCTGCGTGGCATTATGCAGAAGGGCTTTGAAGGTGGCGACATTGGTGGAGTCGCTGGTCTCGCCCTTCAGAAGCTTGACGAAGTGGTGCCCCACGCCATTCTCCTGCAAAGTAAAAAGTGGGAGTGGAAAGGTGGATCTCCAAATGTCCATTTATCTATAGAGGCTCCCCCAATCCCTAAACCTCCTATTCGAATCGGTTTTCAGCCTTCCACTCCCCCTGAAGCACTAGCGAGCCCTTGCCCTTTCTGGGATTTTCTGACCTCCAGGACCCGGAGGCCTAATGGGGCTTTGCAAAAAATGGGGATCTGTTGGAAGTGCTCATATCCATTTTTTCACGTCCGCACGAGGGCACTGGTATCTAGTTTAGGGCTTGGGTCTTAAGGACATTGATTCTACGTTGGAGTATCAGAACTCTCATCTTACTCGTCTCAAACTTTCTCCGAAAGCCATACCCGAGCCGTGACCCAGACCCACTAGAGATCCTAAGAAAGGAGCTCCCCCAACATGACCCCAATTACGACAAGGGGGAAACTAGGGGATCAGGGGGAAGCTTCTTTTTTTGGATCCATAAAGGGGCCTAAACCGTGAAACCTAAACCCTCAACTAAGAACCAAACCAAAGCGTCCTCGTCATGCAAGACCAGACTGGTCTTTGCGAAGTAGTCCAGCTTTTGGGTTTCCTTGTGCCTTGGCAAATCAAAAAAGTTTGGGCAACTTGACAGCTCCACCCCTTCCAAGTTAAAATATGAGTCGTAGACTTCGGGACTGAATTCATCTTGCTGTCCTGCAAACAGGATCGCTACGGAGTCAACAGGTCCCACCGTTGAGTCGCCGTGCTGCCTATGCAGGCTGCGTGATGATTTTGGTAACCCCAATGCCCCAAATTTCATGACCGGTCGAGTCTTAGGATAGGGATAAGATCCTACTTTTGGGGATGGGAAATACCAATATCCTGTCATTTTTGGAACATAAATGCCCCGTCATTACGCACGCGGTTTAGGGTTTAGGGCTTAGAGTTTAGGCATAGCTCAGTCTCCAGATGGGCGCAGATGGGCGTTTCTCAAATCCTAAGTTGGACTTAACCTCCTCCTCAGGCTTCCAAAATCCCCACAATTCCTCTTACCGTTGGTAGCGTAGGTGCCAATTTACTTGCATAATTCTAATAGGCTTTCTCGGTCCACTGTACTATACTTGGTTATTCAGGCTTCTACATTACATAACCCTTAGAAAACACACCCCAGGTAAGCCTTATTTCTACTTCATTTCCAACTTCAGTTGCCATTTGATTCTTCATGTCTTGGGAACTAGGTCGCCAAGCCTGCCACTATTCCAATGCACCCGAGGAAAAACCCTAAACCCTAAACAAACTGCTGGTAGTTATACCGACTTTCACATGAGGGCGGCCAAGTAGCATTTTGGACACCAGGGACACGCCGATCAACTCGTTGCAATCAGTGACGTGTCCAAACCTTGGAGGAGATTTTATGACCTTTTTTCCTGGGGGGATGTAGGGGTTTAGGTTTCGGCAGGAATATGCGTTGACAGAAGGGCTATCGGAGAATTCTGGAATCCTAAATCCTGCACCTTGCTAGAATGCCCAAGGACCAAAGCCTCTCTCGCAACCGCCTTCCTTTGCAGTTCTCGAGCATCATAAAAGGGGTATCCTGTTTTTGGGAAGTTGTGTGATGGTTTGGGGATTATACTGATGCCTGAAATCTATCCAAATATGCTCACCCGGAACTTTGCTCAGTAGTTCGACATGGGGTGGGGGCTTATGATGAGAAAGTCGCTCACTTTCCAAGCAAATCCTATGGAAGCATGGCTACCTTTTGCCTCTTCGACTACTACTCATCAACATGGGTTGAAATGTTCTACAAGTGAGCGACCTAGTACCATGCTTGTCTGGACGGCTTTGCAACGACACTGTCCACCTTTGTTGAAGATTTAGACCGAACACTCCAAACTCCACCAAGTCCAATCCAAGTTAAATCTCGAATTGCAGCACTCCCCCCGCCCCCCGGGTGAAGTTTGGCCAGGCTGGGAATAAGCCTTTCCTGGGGAATGACAAACATTCGAATTTTCTGAGAATCCTCATACGGGTTATGCTACATATATTCAAGGGTTCCAGGGTTGTACCCCTAAGGTGCCCGTAAATGGTTTCCCCATTATGGCCATAATATGTCCCTTGAAAGGATCCCAAAACCTAGGGGTAGAACGCTAGGGCTACAAGCCTGAAACCCTTGATATGTGAGGGGAGCAGGAGCTGCACATCGGGAAACTTGGTACCGTGTCTTTGTACGGCATGTAGCCGGAGCATGTCTTGGCCTCGCCCAAAAATGACATCTACCCGAAACCCTAAGCCCTAAACCCTACAGTTGCCACAAAGGTTTCTCCAAGTGGCTCCTAATTAGATCACTTAAGGGGGACCTCATTATAGTCTCTTTATAATGCACATGTGTCCCTGGGCGTCCCAGTAATATGAATTTTCGAACTATCCCCACAAGCCCAGGAGCTTTCCGACAAAGAAGTCCACATCCATGACCTCCCGGCTCTAAGCAATGAGCCTTCCCTGCAGAAAAACCTGCGTTGCAACTCTCCACATCCTGAACCCTAAGTCACAAAACTCAGGCCACAAATCCAAAACTCTGAAGGTGAAAGAATAGGAGACCATTTCAACCCCTCAACTCCGATGGAATATCAACGTGGGAACCCCCCCCGTGCATTGCAAAACAAGCCCAAGCCCCATGGCCCGGTTGGGTTTAGGGTTGAAGGTTTAGGGTTTATGGTTTGGGGTTTAGGGTTTAGCAGGCTTCTCAGCATGGGGTGCCCTCTGGGCATACGTGCGGACTACAAGGGTTTCTGGGGATCTCTACTAAGGATTCTACAAAGGCACTTTTTCAGGTTTCCAAGTGTGTCATGAGAGTTTGTCATGGGCGGTCCACGTTAGCATTTCCGCAAACCTCCTAGCAAGGAGACAATAAACCCTAAACGCTAAACCCTAAACCCTGAAAGGGTTGAGAGTGTAGGGATGGAACCAAACAGCTGGCAAAGGCTTTGTACGAGCAAGGTGAGGCAGCAAACAAAATTCAAGGATTTGCGTTTAGGGTGTAAGCTTAGGGTAGATGGACTAAAGCAATGTATCTCCACGACTTCATGTCTCCTGCCTTGCCCCATTACGTGAAATGTCCCAAACCCTAACCATCAAATCTTCTCAGGTTGAAACTGTGAGCCCTAGCATGATACCCCCTACATCCCCACTAAGGCCCCATAGTTAGGACCCTGAGAACAGGTAGGTGAGGAAGATGAGGAGACGTCAGAATAATCGTGCAAATAATTCAAATAATCACAAAAGGTGTAAGTCAAGACTACTCACTCCTCGCATGGAATCCTGGAGGGACCTGAAGCTGGCAGAGCTCGTCGACGTAGCTCGCCATTTCGTGCGCCATTGTGGATTCCTAGGGCTATAGGGCTTTGGGCTTTGGGTTTAGGGCTTGGTGCTGGCGAGCTTCTGGTACGAAACGCAGCCGCCCCCTCAAAATAGTAGCGCCGTACCAGCTAAGCAAAATTCAGTATTGCGGGAGGAGAGACTTGCATGCGTAAAGCCCCCCGCTCCATCTATACTTGAGACAAGAAACGGGGCTCTAGGACCTTACCTGACTTGATCCTCACGCGGGGCTTGTCATTTCAAATCTCACGGATTGATGTCCGTTGTGCTGAGCCTACGTCGTGGGTATTCTGCACCAAGCAGCGGCCAATGTAGGGTCTATCCTCTGCAACTCAACCCTTAGATTCCTCCAACGTTGCTCGGTTCACCTAGGGGAGCCCTCCTTAGTTTTTTTCTCAAAGTGGAATAGTGACGCGCTTGGCGACTTTCACACCGTAAACCCTCGTACACGACGATGGACCTTGGATCGTGCTGTGACTCTTTGGTCCCATGACTCCAAGCTTAGGTGTGAATGATGGTAATAATAGTAGACATGACAGTCCGACTCCTGATGCTAATGTGATACAAATAACTTGGACCCAAGCTTAGGTATGCTTTCACCGGTCTTGCCCCTGTAGCATCCTGAAAGCAGCCTCTGAACTCTAGAGCTTCTCACGGCATGGCTCGGACATTCAGCAATCAGTCTTTGCATGCCCACCGAATGTCTAGGCAGATAGTGATTCTGTCACAGCTGGGGTGCGCACACAGATGCATTCAAAACGACATAAATCCTTCAGAAAGCTGAAACTTCCTTCTGTTTCTGCGAGACACCTCCCTGAATAATTCACCCCTGACCTTGCTAATAATCAATACTCCTAATCCAGTACCGAGAATATATGTATACTTGTTAGGTGGGTGCGGGGCTTTACTCCTGGCTAGACCTGAAAGTACTGTGAAAGAGCAAAAAGCCATTGCCAAGCGCCTGCAGCAACTGAACAAGAGAGGTGCCATCTGATTGCTCTGGAGTGTAACGAAATCTTGTTTGCATGGGGTCCGTCTGAAATGCTACGCAAATTCAAGGTATTGAGATTACGGCTGGGTCTGTGGTGTCGAAGGCAGAATGGCATGGAGAAAAAGCCCAAGATTCCATCGTGGATACCTCGCTGTCGCTTTTCAAGATCGCAAGCTCCTCCTTCACAAGCTCTGCCGCTTCTGGGCCCTTACCACACCTCGCATAGGTTCAACGAAGCTCCAGAAAGCTTGCTACTTGAAATCCGTGCAGAACAAGCCGAGAAACATCTCGGCCATCGCCTTCATCTTTTTCGCGAACTCCTCCACTGCTTCCTGGCTCGAGTCAGAGACCACGAGGGGAGGATCGAATCAAGTGTAATCCTCCATAGCTGTACTCTTTGAACATGGAAGCAACAAGCGGTAATACGCACATCATCTCACAGTCCTGCCGAAAAAGCGCAACAAGACAGCAGCAATACCCTAAACCATAAGCCCAAACATGGCAGCAGCAACTTGAACGTCTTGCAAAGCATAAGATGACGGAACGCATGCGGGATCAAGAGTTTTCATCGCAGCCCAAGCCCCTAAACCCCAAGGCCCTACACCTTAAACCCCTAAACCCGTTGGAGTGCCCAAATCTTGTTGGAGATGCCGGAAGGTTCCAGGAGCCCTGTCCTTGTTCAAATGGGAGCCCGACAAGGTCTCGCGGATGGACGCCTCAAACTCGCGGTGCGCAATCTCCTCACAAGTTTGATCGGGTTTAAGGGTTTAGGGCTTAGGGGTATATATAGACAGCTGTCTAAAACTCAAACCCCTAAACCCCAAAACCCGAAACTCCTACACCCACCCTGACCCCCAAAACCATGAACCCTAGAACCCCAAAGCGTGTGGTTGTTCCTCGGCAGCTTGCCGCCCCGCCATCTTCACAGCCTCCACGACGGCTTCGTCGTCATTCCATTGGGTGCCGAACTCTTTGAGGCTTATCTGCGCAGTTCAGACACATTCTTTGAAGGTTTAGGCGATTTACGGTTCCAGATAAAAATGGGATCACAGTCATAGGACCCTAAAACCCTAAAGAGCTTTGTCCAAATGTGTGTGGAGATGCGCGCGTTTTCAAAGCTCAGGATGTGTGTCCTGTAACTTGCAATCAAGGAGTGTCCTTCAAAATCAGGGGTTCCTCTTGAGGGTCCTGATAATGAGGGTAAATATGTACATCTATGTATGTATATATATATATACATACATTGGGCGGTATCTTGGGGGATCCTCATTCTTGGAAATGCTCATCGAAAAGTGCACGAGTTCGAGAAGAATTCCCAGGTTGTTCCCTCTCCGAGCAGGATTGTATCCTCTGAATGCATCGCGGCTAGGCAGGGGAACGGTACAAAACAACCAGACTGCCGACGCTCTGCAGCCTGTTGTGCTAAACAGAGGATACGGTTGATGAGCATAAGCCCTATGTGCCTATGGGCATGCCATAGCAAACAGCTTCCAAGCTCAAGGTACAGAACGTCAACAGGATGTTACTGATCAACTCTATTCTCTTCAAGCCCATGACTTACGCTATAGGATCCTCAAGGCCACCCTTTGATCTCTTGGCCCGTAATACAACACCCAAAATGCATGATTTCCGTTAACATCCCTGCAATCTACCCCTCACAAAAGCCCATTCCCATTGGCAGTTCCTGTACCGTAGGGAAATCGACAGCAGCGGATGACCTACAGCCCCAAGCCCGCAAACCCTAGACCCATCAAGCCTGGACTGATAAACCGTAAACCCTGACCCCTAAACCCGTAAACCCTACACCCTAAACCAAAAAACTATAAACTCTAAATCTAAAACCTTCAAACCCTAACATCCTAAAACCCTAACACCCTAAACCTCCAAACCCTGAATCCAAGACTGCTCACGCCAACCTTGGCCCGGACCAGCCGCATCACGACTTCTGCAGTGCGCACCTCTAAGGGCCCAAAGAGGAACCCGGGACAGGAAGAAGGGTTTAGGGTTTTAGGGTTCAGGGTTTCGGGGTTTATTAGGCTTTTAGGGTTTAGGGGTTAAGGCTTTTAGGGTTTAGGGTTTAGGGTTTTAGGTTCGAGGGGTTTAGGGTTGATTGTGGTGAGGCTTACACATGGATGAGGCAGCAACATTTTCCCCAATATCTTGTCCTCAACACCCCTAGGCCTCAATTCTGGTTAATTTAGCAAAGTCCTGACACTGAACACAGGGTCGACTTTGCAATATTTACTCAGCTGGTTTGGCCTGTCGAGAAACGTGAGGGCTTCCAAATTTGAGGGTCCCTACCTGGCGGCCCCAAACAAGGATGATCACACTGAACCCTGAAGCTAAGGCCCCAAGCCCAAAGTTCCAAACACAAAGCCGAACACTCAGATCCAAAAGCTACACAACCCCAAACCCTGAACCCTAAACCCTAAACCTGAAGCTCTGAAGCCTGAACCCTGAGCGCCCCCATACCCAACAGTCGAGACCTTGTTGAGTCGCTCCAGCTTCCAGTCATCTGTCTCGGCGTCCACCATTCCTGTGCTCGGTTTCAGGGTTTCGGGTTTAGGATTTAGGGTTTAGGGTTGAGGCTTTACGGGTTTAGGGTTCAGGGTCTGGTACGTTTGGGGTTTTGGGGTTTGGAGTTTAAGGCTTGGGGTTAAGGGCTTACAGGATTTTTTGGGTGGTTACAAAAATGAAGAATCGAACTTAATGTAAATTCCTCAGCAGCAGCCCAGATTCGCTGCGCCAAACAATGATCGACGGCGGTAATAATCTCGGAAGCCTCACGCAGGACTGTCTCAGGAAAAGCAACGAAGCGTGTATTCCGAAGATGCCAGGGGAAATCTCTGCAGATCATGGACATGCTGATTGGGGTCGTTATCTGATGGAGTCTACTTCCCTTTGAAGTCGTTCGTGTCATTGCATTTTTACACTTTTGGCCTTCAACAATTGGTCATGTCCTCTTGTAACATTTCTGAAGCTGGTGAAACACATACTCCGAATCACGAGGTCCCACAGCATTCTCGGCACAGGGTACAGATGAAACTACGGACACACCACAAGGTGGAGGGGGAAGATCTGAGCGAACTGTGCGAAAACAAAAATTCTGACTTGCTCCGGGCTTCAGACAGCAATTCCAGACTGACAAGCCTTGCACCATCCTACTCAAACATTACTTGCGCCATGCCCATAAATTACCAACCAGAAGGGGAGGGAGGAAAATTGGAAAAAAAAAACACCCACACCGCAGGGGTAGGCCCGACAGTTGTGTGGGTGGTCGGGCAATGCAACCCATACCACAGGGGGAGGCGGCAAATTTCAATGACCTCAGCAACGAAGAATGCTAGCAGCTATGTTGGAGGAAGGCATCCACCCACACCCAAAGATCAGAAGGACTTCACCAAAACAAGCGGGCATCTCTGGGAGACAGCAAACCAGCCATACTACAGGGGAGGGGAAAGCTTCAAATGCAGGTCTTTATGCTGCGGGTGGGACTGTTGGCACTGTTGAGATCGTACATGTGGTAGCTGCCATAAATGGGATGACCCCAATATAGACTCCAATTTGCTACAATCCTTCTTTTGGGGACCCACAGATCTGAAAAAGACACCTTTCATGCAGATTCCAGGCCCGACACGTTCAGAACTGTATGAGCTTAAAATCACCATATGGAGCTACGGGCCCTCAAACTCTACATCCGCCCACCTCAGATCCTACAGACTCTAAGACCCTGAGCACCTTAGCCCACCATATCCCACCATGAATGCTCTCAGCTGGCTACTGCCCCCACCTTGCAGCAGTCTATATCAGGGTTCATATTCAGGGCTATATACAATTCTACTATTATCAGTATTATTCACAACTATTGTTACAGAGTGGGTGCAATACCCAAGCTATCAACTCCAGAACAGATTTGCCCGGCCTTCTCTTCGGCTCCAGAAGATTCATTGGACTGGATAAAACTTGGGCCTGATGTGACCTTCACAAACAGTTTAGGATCTAGGGATTTAGGGTTTAGGATTTAAAGGTTTAGAAATTAGGGTATACGGCTTTGGAGATTTGTTTTTTTTGTACATGGCACCTCTTTTCCGTCTTGCAGAGTTTGGGGCTTTAGGGTTTAAGGCTTTGGGGTTCTGGGGTTGGAAGGTTTGGAGATCTTTAAGGGCCGTGGGGTTTAGGGTCTTGAGCCCCATGCGACCTTGAAGGTCATTGCTTCATTGATGAGCGTCAGCAGCAGCAACAGGGAGTAGTGCCTGTCGTTTTGTTGGGAAGGACTCACATGCACTCGAGTATTTCTGCTATGCTTGCAATCCTTCTGTGCCTGGGATAGGCAGTTGCGGTGTATCCGATTTTGTGCGGCAGCCCTAAACCCTAAGCCCTGTGTGTCAGGGCTTTCTTCTTGGCGGCGCTTAGGATCAAAGCTTGCTGGTCTTTCTGCGGGCGTTCTCTTTGGAGACAAAGCCGCCTCCATGTGGGTGCAGCAGGACGCTTCATTGCTTCAACGTGCCCAACGGCACCGAGACAGGTAGTTATGTAATGAACTTTTCGAGCCATAATCAGCGAAATGCATCAGGTAGTTTCCCTAAATAAAAGCACCCCAATGCAGATCCCACAATACTATAATCCTTACTTCTATTTGGGGCACCCCAAACTACGAACTCCTAATTTCTGGAAATCCTCACCCTATAAACCTATGGAACCCCTTGTTTCCATTCGAATTTACATATCCTTGTCTATTTGATTCTTCATCATCGGGATAATGCCCTCATCACCCATGAAACCCCCATATCTGTATAGGTTGTGATCCTAGAAGTCAACGCTCTCATTTATGAGCGCTTGCCGCGCTGTCATCATTTCAGCTGTAGCCTACACTCCTTGAAGGGGGTTTATATAGGGGATTATTTAGGGAGTATTATAGGGGTTATCAGGGGGATACTACTATAGTAGGAGTTTAGACCATGGCTCATTTGCGGCTTAAAGTTCACGGAATGATACGTCATGATTTGGAGGTTTTTCAAAAACAGGGATAGAGACTCACATGGAAGAGGAAATGAAATGAAGACTGGGACTCTGTAGTGGGGCTTACTTGTCTTGATCCCAATATAGGGATTTTTGGGTCCTCCTGTTTATGGAAACCACCATTTGCGTAGATGAACTCCTCCCCGACGCTTTTGTTTGAGCTGGATACCTTGCATGTTAAGGACTTCTGGTATTTGCCTTTCAGGCGATTCTCAAACTGGATAGGTGCCAACACACACACACATGCATTGCAACTTCCATGGCTAAATTTCGGAGATCTCCGGAAGTCTGGTTCTTCTACTTGTTTTGTACCTCTGGAGCCTTGGCAGTAGCTTGACCTTCTTCAGCCTCGTAGCTCTATTCAAGGCTCGGCGAAAAAAACTTTCAAGTCAGCCTCGTAATGAGCATCCTGCACCCGATAAATTCAGAAAGCAGATGCTTTTGGATCTTGACCCAAGGCAAAGACATGCGAGCTATAGTCTAACCTTCTAGTATCCCCCCTGAATAACCCCTCTAGTGGTCCCCAATAGGAGCTATGGCCTAAACTCCTTACAGGGCCTTAGGAAAGGGACTATACAGGATTCCCATAATAGGCCTTGTTAAGGGGGATACTAGGAGTTTAGACAGCGGCTCATATAATCCTCTCTAATCCACTCCCCCTAATACTCCCCTACCCCCCCTAATATTACATACTCCCAATACATTTTAATCTCCCACAATAGAGAGTATCTAATCTTAGCGGGGCTGGGGGGGGGTTAATATTAGGGGAGGGGATTATAACCCTTCCTTGAAGGAATTTAGGCTGCAGCTCGTGTTGTGGCAACTCGCGACTCGAAGAAAGCAGGCGGGGGATGTGCCTTTTTGATCTCGGCTAAAACAGGGTTCAGGGTTTAGGACATGCATGGCTCCCTCATCGGTGAAGGAAGTTGAATTGGAACAGAAACTGCGTAAGCTGATGTGTCACCCATGCCTGCTGTAGCGTACTATAGCAACTACCCTACACCCTACACCCTACATCGTAATTTCCTTTTTTGTGTTCCACCTTCTGTTCGGTTTGATCTTCCGTTATCCCTAAACCCCACTGAGCCACAATGAAGTCCAAGAGTTGCGCATGTTTCATTCCGGTGACTTGTGCTACAACAATCCAGCTACTTTGTAGCCGGGCGAAGCACGCCAAGAACAAGTCGAAGGGTCTGTGACCAGGAATTATTGGCGGTCTGACCACAGGACAAACGTAATTCACAACTGGGAGGGTGGAATGTCTAAGAAGGCAACAGGAACTGCGGACCTAAACCCTAAATAGCAGTTTCCACTTTCTTTTCCATTATCCCAAAATAACCCCAATATAACCCTAATGAGCTAGTGGCAGATAACGAGGAACCGTGGCATGGGCCGCATCTGACCACTGATTAGCAGGAATGAAGGAAAGGACACGAGGATGGAAACCCATTCATAGTGTTTAGGGTTTAGGGTTCTGTTTTTTTCTTTGGGGGGGGGTGTTCTGAATGAAATAGATAGGGGTTGTATACTGCTATGAGGATCCAATCCTTCATTCCTTGCCAACCAGCTGCAAGTTATGCCAGCGCAAATCTATAATGGCTGGCTCAAGGGGGTTCTGCGTTGTCAATACTACACGGTTTACGGGTTAGGGCTTTGGGGTTTAAGGTTGAAGGTCACCCTGATAGCAATAGGACTTGAAGTACTTGGCCGTAGCTTGCCCTTACCAAAACCTCTGGTGGTACCTAACTACTCTCGCAAAGACTATAAAAACAAAAAAAAAAAACGACTCTTGCTAATCCTATTGTCGTTTGCCTCGATTGGGTATTGCAACCGTGGCCGCTACTTTACTAGGTTTGGTCCTTGGGTGAAGTGGTACGTTATGGTGGGAAGTCCTAAAGACGGACCCGTGTTAACCTCAAGCCCTACGCCATGAAAACCTAAACACCACAGGCCCTAAACCCTAAATCCCAAAGTTTATTGTAGGTGGAGGTTGGGCCGGCTGACTTGACTTCTGCGCCCAGATATCTTATAACTGGCCGTTTGATCACTTGCTTCATGATGGGTAGGGAAGGAGGGAGCGGGTACTGGGGCTTGTAAGGTCATCCCCCACTCCCAACGCATGAGGAAGACAAACCGGGTTGCTGTTCGGGAACATAGATCAGGCTACTGTAATAGGGCACACTTAGCATTTACCATTGTACCCATGTTATGGTAAATGAATTTATGCTCCTTGACAGCAACCGAGCAAAGCAGCTATCACCGCTCCAGCGTGAAGAAGACAGAGGTTGCGGCAAGTCGAACAAAGCAATCTCAGCTAGAAGCATAACTGAGCAGTGAAGCGCGTGGCTTCCTCATGGGGAAAAGAAATGTATTGAGGTATTTTCTGACCTGCTGGACGCTTCCGAACACGAATCGAATGGAACAGCAGGTACACGAGCTGATGGGCCGCCCATGCCAGCTGTATCATTCTTAGCAACTCGATACATGCCTCAACAAAGTACCACAGTCATACTTGTTTTATTCGGGTATCTCGTGCACGGAGCTTCCAAATAGGATGTGCCAACTGTATGCCCAAACTGGTACGTGGAGGATCCAGAAAGGACATGTCAAGCATCAACGCGAACTGAGCTGCCAGCAAGAAAAACCTCCAACTCATTAAGCGCTTCTGATCTGTGTAGGTGCGGGGGCCGAGAGTGTAGGGTTTAGAGTTTGAGAGGGTTTGGCTGGTGATTTACATTTTCTGAGGCGTCACTCTGGTTCATCACAGTCCCTAGTGCGGACTAGTTGCAAGTACTAAGGCTTGATGCAAGAGTTTAGGGTTTAGGGTGTATGCTTAAGTGTGTATGGTGTAGAGTTGAGGGTGTAGGGTTGAACATGACCATGCCAGCAGCCCCTTGAGCACGTATCTGGAATGTTAAGCCGAAGTGGTTGGTGTTGTCAATACAAAAAGCTACGGTTGAAGTAGTTGGCCATAGTTGTCAATTTCACACGCCTCTGGTGCAAATATCGCTTGCCTGACTGTATATCTAGAATGGTGACTGGTCTTTGCGCTTAAACGGAGAGGCTCGCACAATATGTTGAGGTAGTTCCCTCATACGAGCTATAGTCTAAGCTCCCAGCAACCCCTTGATAACGCCTCTAGTAGTCCCATGTATTATCCTTGGTATAACCCCCTTTACGTAATTGAGATCATAGTAACTGCTATAGTACATATGGCTTTCTGGGATCCACATCGGAGGCTGCGACTGTTCCACCAAAACAAGGACCCCTTTCTCAGCACGCGGTGCTTTAAGAATGCAATGCCCAAGTCTGGTTCGTTGTTGGATTTGAGTTGAATTGTTTTGCAATGCTGAAATTTGCAAACAAGCGTATGAAGTGATGTGTCAAACAAGCTGGTAAAGCGGCTTGTTGGAGGTTGAACCGGCAGCCCTGCCTTTGGTAGGGAATGGGATTTTTGGGTTACATGGACGATTCTCGGACAAAAAGGATTGCACATTGACTCCTACACGGATCCATTTCCCCCATTTCCAACCTGGCATGCGTATGATTCATGGATAGCCCTCATGGCCACACGGCTTCCAGTGCTGGAAGGGAATTTCCTAAAATCCCTGCATCTCTGTAGAAACAAAAGAGCTTTACAGGAAGAAGCGGGGGGCTGCCCGAGAAGCTTGAGGGAAATGGTTCAATCAGGGTTCAAGACCCAATAACATACTGAGACTACTGTATTCCTCATTTTGGGAGTTTGAAGGGAATCATAACTGTTCAAAGCCACAAGCTGTGGGCTTCAACAAAGTCTTGTAAAGACAAATGTCCATACGTTGGAGCATCGCGCGGCTTTTGGGATATGCAGATTACCCTGTGCCTTCGCGGGAAATAAACAGACCATCCTTGTTTTCAGTATCCCGTACCTTTGTTGCTATAGACTATTGCTGTCCTTCCAGGTACCGTGAATACCTGGTACCGGTGATATTGTTGATGTTGCCAGGGTTGTCGCCTGTGCAAGTGTGCATTGCGCGAAGACTGAAGACACATTCTGGAAACACGTGTTGGGAGTATCCGGACCCCTGATGCCCCGAACTGACGCCACATCCGGTGACGCCACTTCGGTCCCTGGCGCCTGACGCCAGGTTGTGATGCCACATCCTACGACGCCGCGTGGTGTCGTGGCGCCGCACGAGCCATTGATTTTGACACCACGCCCCATGAGGCACAATGGCAAATGAGCAAAGCAGCTCCGTTCCCCGGGCTGGCCAAATGCCACGTGACTCCCTGACGCCACGCGTCTTCGTGACAACGCGTTTTGACACAGCATCCGGTGACGCCACTTGTATTCGTGACGCCGTGTTCTGACGCTGCATCCGGTGACGCCACTTGTATTGTATTCGTGACGCCACGTCCGGTGACGCCACGTGTCTTCGTGACGCCGCGTTCTGACACCACATTTTTGACGCCACGCGTCTTCGTGACGCCACTGA